TAAGATATGCATGATTCTCATCGCGATCGTCCTTCTCTTCGGATCCTTATAATCAACAGTCTTCCATCCATTCGTTCCTTGTCTTCCCGTCTCGAAGAGAGGCCCGTAAGAGAATTCCTCGACGCGCGTAAGTCCTACGCTATTCTTGTCAAACAGGAGGTCTCCGTCACTTCCCGCACACGGTCCCATTACTTTCGTCCAATGCTCGACGGTCCACAACATGGGATTACCGCGGAGCTCCTCGCCTTTGGTCGTGCTCTTGTCCATAACCTCCTTCCACATTCTCGCTGAGATGCAATTCCAATTCCATAGAAGGAATTATAGCCGCAGTTCCCTCAACTCATGTGTGAAGGGTCTCAACTCCTCATACGGCACCTTCAAGGGAACCAATTTCCTCACCTTCTCACTCTTCTTGGGCGCCATGTATTCAATTTGCGCTTCGCTGGTCGCGGGTTGGCTCGATTGCAATTCCACTCGCTCTCGGTCGTTCTTGCTTGATATCGCAATGTCGGCGCGCAGTCTCCTCTTGCCGCCTTTACCCTTGAAGCCCTAACATTGCTTTCTCTTGCGCCTCATAGAACTCCCGACGCGTGTGAACCTCGTCCGGCCCGTTACATGATTTGAAATTGATTCCGATGTCTTCGCCGAAGACGCAGCTCTTCGTGCGTCCTAAAAAGGCTACGCCAAAGACGCGAAGATCCAAAGATCTTCGGACGAAGACAAATTCTAACTAATCCTATCATAACTCTTATAAATCTACTCTTTCCAACTTATATAACTATCTTCTACACACATATGTTTATGTTTTTGTTAATTTTTAAAGAAAAACAAAAAAGTAGGCCCCACACTTCGCCCCGCGCAGACCGTGTCTGTTTGAAGACAGAGATATCGGACTTATCAACTCCGTACTTTCCTTCACAAGTTCTGCCGGTATGTCTGTTGGAACTTCGATTGACACCTTCGAAGGTACCCCTATCTCCACAGGCCGCATTACCTCGCTAGCTGCGACTTCGGATGTGTTCACAATGGGTGCTACCGTCTTCTCCACGCTGCTATCCGACACCTCAGCTGTCAACATCCTCCGATTCGCCCTCTTCTTTGGTCTTGCGCGTGCTGCCTCGCTCCATCTACATCCATGTCCATCCTTCTTACCTCGTGTGCCTCGTCATCACTCACGACCTTCCTTCTCTTCGCCAATCGTCTCTTTGGCTTCTCCCGTCTCTGCACCACGTCCACCTGAACTGGCCCTCGAGCTGTCGTATGTGTTGGGATTGAGGGGGGGTCGGTTCTCGTTCATCACTTGACTCAGCTGTCAGGATTTCTTGCTCTCTCAGAAATCGCTTCTCCTCCTCCCTCGTAAGCAATCCCATTCCTCGATAGAAATTCACCAGAAAGGGAGTGATGTGATTGGTCAAAGGTCTCGTCCACCGGGAGGTCGCATTCACCCAGACAAGATCGTAAAAGATTTTTGCCCAATGTACTCGCTGTACCTTCAGGATGCGTTCGAAGAACACTACTTGCCAGGCCGTCACATAAGTCGTGCGCGCCGGTCGCAAGATGTGCATGATTCCCAACGCGATCGCCCTTCTCTTCGGATCTTTATAATCGACAGTCTTCCATCCATTCGTCTCCTGTCTTCCAGACTCGAAGAGAGGCCCGTAAGAGAATTTCTCGCCGCGTGTAAGTCTTACGCTATTATCTCAAATAGAAGATCTCCGTCACTGCCGGCACACGGTCCCATTACCTTCATCCAATGCTCGATGGTCCACAGCATGGGATTACCGCGGAGCTCCTCGCCTTCGGTTGTGCTCTTATCCATTACCTCCTTGCAGATACTCGCCGAGACGCAATTCCAATTCTACAAAAGGTATTCAAGCCGCAGTTCACTCAACTCGCGTCTGAAGGGTTTCAATTCCTCGTAAAGCACCTTCAAGGGAACCAATTTCCTCACCTTCTCACTCTTCTTGGGCGCCATGTCTTCAATTTGCGTTTCGCTAATCGCGGGTTGGCTCGATTTCACTTCCTCTCTCTCTCGCTGGTTCTTGCTCGATATCGCAATGCCGGTGCGAAGTCTCCTCGTACTGCCTTTACCGTCGAAGCCCTAACATTGCCTACTCCTGCGCCCAGTAGAACTCCCGACGCGTGCAAACAACGTCCGGCCCGTTGCGTGATTTGAAATTGATTCCAATGTCTTCGCCGAAGACGTAGCTCTTTGTACGTCCATAAAAGGCTGCGCCGAAGACACGAAGATCCGAAGATCTTCGGACATAGACGAATTCTAACTAATTCTATCATTTCTCCTCAGGAGCTACTCATTCTAACTCTAACAACTACTTTCTAGACAAATATCTTTTGGTTTTGTTGATTTTTAAAGAAAAACGAAAAAACTAGGCACCAGAGCAAGGGCATCGACGCATTTGGATTGAGCACCAAAGTTTAAATTGCCACTTCAGCTGACCAAAAAATGTTCACCCACGAGCACGTTTCTGCTGCAAGTGAACTTGACGTGGCTTTTAGATTGCGGAGGTGGCTTTTGACCCCCTGGTATCTTTGAAGTCCATTAGAAAGGTGTGTAGTTGCGAAGTTCACCTTTTACCGCACGTACCCTACAGCCTCATCACACCAATGACTGAAGTTTGTATAGCAGGATGATGGTTAATTAGCCCAAGGTGAGGGGTAACTAGCCGCTCCCAAGAAACTTCACTTTTCTCCGTAATACTCCTTTACACAAAACAAGATTGTAGTCAAGTAAACCATCAATGTAAAATACGTTCTCAATAGCTTTGGCTACAACAGTTAGGGAAAGCGCAAGATTGAAAACCATTTGATTGTGATTGAAACAATAGTTATAATACAATTGTCAAAATAAAGATCCAAAAATTTTGCAAACAGAGAAATTTAAAAGCACAACATCAACGATAACATACATGATTCTCCACTCTCAAACTCGTCAAAGATATCCACCATATATTTGCTAAAGTATTGAATACAAGATGTGGCTTAGGTTTTTTATATATACAAGTTAACATTGATACTAGTTCTAAACTAATAAGAATTGTATTTAAACCTAACTCTAACTCAAATGTCGTTAATTAAAGTTCAATCCGAAACTTGAGTCAATACTAAAAAAAATGCATGGATTTTATTTATTGGATTTTTTATTATGGAAAACTTTTGATTAACTGTGTATTAATCATAAAATTTTATTATATTTTGCAAATGATGCTTAACTTCTATAGTACTTTTTAGACATAAATGAATTGCTTAATTCAAGTAAACATTAAATACATATATATAATAAAATATATCATCTTGATTTTTTTCATTGAAATTATACTTCCAAACCAATCAAATATACATGATTTTTGAAGATTAATATACCACAAACATTGAAATCATTAGATTGGAATCAAAATTTTGATATTTAAAACAAACTGTTGATTGATATGATTTTTACACAACTTTTCACACAATGAAATTGATTGAGATAATGACATCAATAATTATGCATAATATATATATACATACATATATAATAACCAAGAAACTTATATACTAAATTACTCTAATGTATTCCAATAACATTACAGCAATACAACTTTATTAATGTAGTCAGATGACAAATGAAGCAAAGTAAAATTATGAATTATTTAAGCTCTTAATAAGAGAGAAAATCATTCAATTTCTTGCATTATAATATCGCATCAATTAGATCTCGAATAATAATAATTTACACACAAAACCCTCAATGAAATTATTGAAAAAAATCCATGCACATCGTAAGAGATTCTGCGGATAGCATTTCTAATGTGAAAGATTCTTGACATGAATATATGTAAACATTGATCATGTATAGAACATGTAACGAAACAAATATATATTTATCTATGTCTCCGCCTTTTCCAAATTCCTGCATTAATGAAATGGGCTTTTAGTTTCAGATTTTCACTTTCTCTCTTTGAATGCATTTCTTCGATCAAATCCTGAAATGATTTTCTAACAGTGTTTGACTTTGTCTTCATTCACTTTTGATTCACCCCTAAGACGATAATTTCTCAACGACTTGCTCCTTTGTGCCCACATGCACTCGTTGTGAATCCAGTATTAGACGTTGAAAGAGATACGTTTTCTTTCAACAGAGTGAGTCTTCACGACTTTTGGTATCTTCGTTTGGCCATACTTGGCTTCGAAAATATTGGAACCTTTAAAGAAAGGACAAGAATTTCAAGTCCAGCTCCACTCTCCCATTACGCTCCATAAAGTTGGACACGCCACTTAGTGTTGAGCCCACCCATGTAGACCTCGGTGCGTTGCTCAATTCAGCAATGATAACATGCCCGTGTGTTCCGGCCCTGGCATTGACGGAAAAAGTTCCTCTGAGTTCTCAAAAATTCATTGGGTGCACTACTACTCCTGACTCCATTCTTCACCTCTGGCAGGATAGACCCACCGCATGCGCCATCCATAAAACAAATATCAAAAAGCCGAACTACCGAACACTCACATCCGAGTCGGTTATCTGACATGTTCGCAACCCCTCCGCGTCAGGCAAGCACTGTTCCATGTTTGTGTCCAAATGCTTCGTACGTTCGGAGCCCCGCTCACTCCCACAGCGAACAGAGGAAACAAAAACCAACCCAGCTAGTTTTCGCAACTTCGATTACCACACATCTATTACTCATGGCATAGGCTCGGAGAGAAAGCTAAAGCAGCTGGTTAGAAAGCTTGCTTGCACTAACACAGATCATTTCCCATTTGAGAGTCTGACACAATAATCAAACCATTCACGGTCATGTCAATTCTAAGCATGTAGATGTCCGCTGTACATTGTGCATCAGAAGTTGTGTATACTTGCGTGATGCTAAAAGAAGCAAGCTTCTCTAAGATGAGGAAACATACCCACCAGGAGTAAAATTCGAGCCCTATAGAGCATACTTTCATGGCAAATACTATATATAGGTGTGTCCTACATGTCATCCGCTCAGCTCGCCCAAACATGTGAGATGATTAAATAATTGAGAGCACATAAGCGTATACCTGCTTCTCAACAGTTGGCATAATTGTCAAATATGGGAGAACATCAATTGGCGATGATAAATACAACCTGGGTAGCTTACACAACCCTGGGTAGGCGTGCGCCTAATTTAAATTCTTCACCTCCGATGGTGTGGGCAACGAGTTAAGTTACATAGGGACATATGTGCCCCAAAACGGCGCTGAGATGCATGAATTTTGGGTATTCCATTCAAGCGGTTCACTGCTTGAGAAGCTTTATCAGCCACTTGTGACACGGGAACAGGGTTCATCTATTTCTAGAGGATTTTGAGGTTGGTAACATTACAGATCTAACATAATCTATTGTTTAAAAGAATGATGTATTGAGAGTCCTTGGACATTCTCATTTCTACATGGCTGAACTTGTGCCCGACTACCTTTACATAGTAAATACCCACTACCTCACCTGCAAAAGAACAAAGGAAATGGTCAAAAATGTCAAACATGGAGCAAAATCCACGAAATGTTGCACAATCAAATCACAGGGATAAGTTTTGGAGTCCTGGGTACGGCACCACCAGTAGAGCAGCACTAGTCCAATGTATCCAGTCATTGATCATGTATGGAATATATGTTCCCTTGGGATAGTGCCAGCGATGTACGAATAGACCACAATTCAAAGCTGACAGAAGAAAATAACTTTAATCGGGAAAGACCGTTGCCTCTTACCTTTCTAGCTTCACCAAAGGAAAAGATTATGTATTAGGATGTGTAGGTGACAATACGATCAGTTATGGCACTTCTACAGAGTGGACACTCAGTGCAGGCGACTGCACATGTCTTACACACTGTCACAACGATGTCAATGGTCAAAAACTACACAAAGCCCCACAACAAAAGTTCCGACGGACACAGAGAGGGAGGAGGGAAAGCAGGGGATGGGACAATATAGAGGACAGACTTCTGATCACGATTCGCATCGAACGCATTGACCTAGATAGGGGCGTCAATAGTCACAATAAACTGCCACTTTAAAGTAGAACTTAATTCAAAGAAAGAGACATACGGCAGAAGTGTCGGCAAGGAAGAAGAACTGCGGCTGTTGGAGATTCAAAGCAGACTTTACAGACATTTCGTTCCTCTTCATGTAACTCTTGTTCGACTCCCTTAATCGGTACTATGTCAAGCTGCATTTTGGCCTGCAATTCCCTTTCTCTTTCACGTTCTCTTTCTTTCTCCACTCTCTCTCTTTCTAGCCTTTCCTTTTCTAATTTCTTCTGTTGTCGTCCCTGGCAAAATGAGGGTCAAGTATTATGCTAGTTTTCGATGGACCCGAAATGTCCAAGAAACTTCGCAGATTAGTTGCAAGGCAACACTAGACATAGCAAGAATACTGACATCATTCTCTGACATTATTCCTGATCACAGGATTTGAATCGACAATGATAGGGTACATCTTAGACTCCACGAATCCAATTAAATCTATACACAGAAATAATTGGAAATGAGGGCTTGGCCTGCATATGTCAGGTTTACACACCTTAGCTTGGCACAACTTGGTCAGGGCTTCGACATGAACATTTTGTAGCTCATAGAGTGAGTCAATGTCCAGATCATCCAACTCTTCACTCTGGAATACATAAGAAACTGAAATCTATCACTTTGCTGCAATTTTTTTGACTCAGTGACTGAGATGATGATAATTCGAAAGGATCATAAGACAAGTTAAATGAAAGTCATTGTTGACTCTAGTATTAGGAATTTTCCACATATCAAAGAGACAAAATTAAGCACAGGGCGATATATAAATATCACAAGTCCTGTAGATTCTAGAGTTCAGGAAAGACACTTCGTAGTGAAGATCAGATGTAAAGGATTGGCGAAGGTTCCAAGGTCCAAGACTTCGAAAAAATAAGTTATGGTCCGTGGCCCAAGATGTTAAAACCTGGTAACGAACTTAGGATTCTAGTGTGCCTTCAATGACTGACAGTTCTTCAGTCTGCGAGCTTCTACAAGTACTTCACCAAACGTTTCTAAAAAAAAAGCGATTGAGAGAAGTGATGTGAAAGTATGCGTCGAATCAAGGATACTAGTCAGAGCTTCAGTCTTCGAGAATCCACAGTTGTAAGGTGTTAATCAAGATGGAGTAAATCTTATACTTCAATTTGGAAGTCCAGGTGTGCTGAAAACTAAGTGGAATGCAATCCATAACGATTTACAACCAGAACTAAATGGTATTCATATGATAAATGGAACACAGTATTCCTTCAATCGTCAACTTCTTCAGATTATTCATCAATCACAGGAAAGACTAATACGAGAAAAACAGTAGCTTTAAACTCGTTTGGGAACCTCCTTGACATTGCTATCATTACAAGGCCAAACACATTGGAGTTAACGACATAGTAATCTTGAAAAGTAACGTCATAGAATGTCATGTTCGTTTTATGGATCTTGCAAAAGTTGCCTCCTTGCTTTACTACATCTTACCTTACCATCCTGATTGAAACCTCCGGGATTTTAGACAAAAATTGTGCAATTCTTAATGTGCAATCAGGATTTTCTAGAACCTTGCCTCGTTCCTTCGGAAGTACATGCATTTCCGATAAATGTTGTGCAAGAAACCACGCAACGATTTCATTGTTTAGATAAAGGAGTCCATTGCTCAGCAGTTGATATTGCAGTCTTCAAGACGTACCTTCAGATGCAGTACGATCGTTTCCAGTTCTTGGGCTCGTTGTCTTTCTTGCTCCAGCTGAGATTTGATGTCCTCCAATGTACTTGGTTGATCCTGACCATCCTTCACTTTCGTAACGTTGGTATCGTTAGTTAGCAAAAGAAAGTCATCACCACCTTTGCTCCTCAAATCGTCTTGAAGAGGGCCTTGTCGTAGATCTGTCATTTCCTTCTCCTTTTTCAGTTGTGCCACAAGGACCCACATTCCTGCCAGATCATTTTCCAAATCTGTCTCGTGTTGTTTTGCCTCATTGACCTTCTTCACTAATTCAGCTTCCTTCCTTTCCTTCTCTAACAGAGCTAACTCCAAGGCTGCTTCCTTCTCCTTAGATGCCTTGAGCTCTCGTTTTATGTCATCAAGCAGAGGTTCTGAATCCAACGTCCAGCTACCAATGTCATCGAGGAACCCATTCATATTTCTGTCAGTGTCAATGAGGGGAATGTCAAGCGGTATCTCTTGATCTGTTTGACATTCCTTGTTAGCGGTATGTTTTAGCTTTGGCGATAATCTGGCAGCAAATGCCAGCTCTTGTGCAGTGGAGAGATCGTTGGAAAGCTTGGCATTTTGATAAGAAAGCTTTGTGACCTCATCAGCTAAATTCTTCAGCTCCACCACAGCCCGCGAGGCCAGCTCTCTGGCAAAAGCAGCCTCGTCGGCAAGCTGTTGCCCTTCAATCTGTAAGCAACCTTTCTCTTCCTGTAGTCGAATCTTCTCTTGCTTTAGTTTCTCCCGTTCTTCCTGCCACCTCGTCCTCTCTTGTTTCAACTTGTCGATCTCAGTTGCCTGATATGAAATACGGAGCATTATGATCAGAACGGGCATCCTTATTAGAAAATTCTTGAATCCTTATCTGGGTTATATAAAATAGTTATTATCGCCCGCACAGATACAGACGTTCATAACCAGTTGGATTGAATGCTCCCCACATCACTGGGGAGCAAAAATTCAAAATCTATCTAGCCAGATTATGGGTGAAAGTTGTAACCTTATTTATGGGACAGGAAGTGGATCTTCGAGCTATATAAGGCAAACAGGTAGTATCCTCTGTTTTTAAGGCAACTTCATTAAAGAGGCCATTCGGATACGTCTTAAAAAATACGCCTTTCGCTCCGACAATCGAAGATGATGTTACGCATTAGCAGGGTGGTCCAAATTGTCAAGCAAGTCATCACAATACCATATCACTGAAACCAGCGGGCTGTGTTTGGGGGTTAGAGAAAACGTTACAAACCTGTTGAAGTATTTGCGACTGCAAACTAGCACACTCGCTATCATTGAAGTCGCGAGAGCTGCCCCTGGAGGTAGGCCGTCCGGCATCGGAACCTGTTTCCACAAACCTAAGTTCACCTGACAGGCCTCCAGTGTTCAACCATCCACCCGCTTCTTCAGTGTTGTCCACTAGGCTATCGCCGTTCCTGTGGTGGTGAACCTTCTTCTCCAGTGCCGTAGAAAGCTGTGAGCGAAGCGAATGGATAGTGTCCTGCATCTCATTAATTTCCACAGCCTACATCACAGCAGAACATCAGCTTAGTCATAATATAGTGTACTGGGATTGTCATAGTGACAGAGAAACGCTGAGACCAGACGATCAGACAATCATAATAATCTAAAGTTTTGAACTTACTTTGGATTGCAGTTGCTCTTGGAGTATGCGATTGTCAGCAGTTTTGATCTGCAAAAATTCAACATCAATCAAGTCCTTAAGACGACCGAAACCTCACGTCCAAAATTGGGTTGATCCTCTTCAGACGTAGTTCCCGGGGCTAAACGTACTTGGCATCTAATTTCCACAACAGTGCCCACTAGGAAATCTGGAATGAATAATCACGATCCTTCAGAGCATATGCCCTTCATCGTTCTAAAATTCATCATTCCAAACTTCTAAAATAACCCTTCGTATTTAAGTTTGTACACACAATATATATGAAGCAAAGTCTTACCTCCAATTCGAATGCCTTCTCGTTCAGCTGGCTCATCAGCTTAGAGATAGTCTGAACCCCAAAAGAAATCACAAGTGCAATTCAGTACTAAGCACAATGAGAAACACCTACTTTAGACGGTGCGTACTTCCTCTCGCCATCTTCAGTGATGTGAGTAATGATGGCAGAACACAGAGTACGGAGTTCAATGGCAGGAAACATAAAACTTTCACACACAAATACCTGTGACATCTCAAAGGGGGACGCAGTTGAAGGCAGAGCGTCTGCGCTTCCAATGCGCTGCTCAAGTAACTTCATCTGTCGTCTTTTCTCCTGAATTTCATCCTTAAGTTTTTGCATCTGGCTTTGAACCTGGACGTCATCAGGATTGTTCACAGCTTGTTCCGAAAGCCGTTTCAAAGAGCTGGTACACAGGGCAACTTCACCTGCAATCATCTTTACTTGCTCTCGGAGGAGGTCCATTTGATCCGCCATTGTTGTACCAGTCTGCAGACAGAACCAGGCAAAAATATAATTGCTTAACACTATTTTGGTTAAAAAATACATACGTAAGTTCATCGCACTTTCCTGACTCAAATCTGATACACTAGTTTCAGCTGAAGAAACGCAGTAGCACCCTAGTTTGAAATTACATCTCTACTACAGGAAAAAGCTTACATAAGAGGACTTTTGTGATCACTCAGTTACAAATGGGTAGTTAAAGCTTACGGGTGGTGGTCTTCGTCCTCGAACAGTGGCACTAAAGAGCTCTCCAGCTTGTGTTGGTTCTGGGAAAGAATCAGCAGCAGGCAGCATTTCATCGACTCTTCTACTTATAGACTTTCGACGAGACCCTTTGAAATCAAAACTTTGCTCGAATGCAGCATTGACGGATCCAGGTGAGACGATTGGAGAGTGCTCATTATCCAAACTCGTGGCCGGACTAACGTGTAAATTTTCGTTTCTCTGCAAAGGACAATATGAAGTTGCATACGATTAACTCAAATCTGATTATAACTAAAGACAACTTGAACTAAAGCACGTCTCAGCCTTATCCACAAGGTGGAAGAGGTAAATGAAGGAATCACAACACCTAAATTGAAAACAAGTTTTTAAATTTTCCAGAATTCAAAACGGAGCTGAGTATTGGTTTTGTTTATGATCCTAACCCTGAGCTTAAACCAAGCCAGCATTCCACGCTTCTTCGTCTTCTTCTCCTCCTTATTGTGATCCTCGAGGCTGTTGTTGTCACCCTTGCCTTCTCCAGATTCATGATCGGCGTTACCTGTGCCGGATTCATCTTCTTCATCAAAATGTACCAGCTCACGCCTCTTATCCGGTAAGTAGGCAAGCTACAAAAAAAAACATGCGAGATTCTTACGTTACTTTCAACATAGTGACCGGCACATATTGATATGTGATGTTAGGAGTGAAGCAGAGTAACATTTCCAGCACAATTTACAGAGTAGATACGATGTCAACCATAATCAAGATACTCAATTTGATGATCGAGTATCCTCATAAATAGCCCCATTCGTCTATTATTCGTAAAATTACCTTATTTGGATCATTCCTTTTACTGGATACTAATAATAATAATGACAGTCTATAAATCGATGTGCCATTCGTACCTCTTCTTCTCCAAATGAATGTCTCCGACGGTGGGCAGGTTTATCTGGAAGAAGGCTTGCGTGAGGAATGGTATTCTTGGTGGAGACCAGAATTAGCTTAGTGAGTCGCTGTATCCTTCCCATAAGTGCTGCCTTCGCCTGCTCTTCTTCTTCAAGTCGGGACTGCATTTTAACTTGGCCTGCTTCCAGCTTCAAGTACAAACAAAGACAGGAAAAATGTTTGGTATATGAAGTGGACCGCGTGCAGAAACAAAACTACTTATTAGATCGTGTGAAGCTAAAAGGGCATCCTCCGAAAATCGAAGCCTTGCAGAGAAGGATTTCCAGTCCTGCAGATTCATTTCTTTATAGACGAACAAGTGCAATGATGAAATCTCGTGATCCATATTATGTAGACAAGCTCTTGATAGGTGTGAGGATATGGTACACTTGCTGATAATAATGGAGAGTTTGCATAATGCTTAACAGTTAATTTCGAGCTCTGGGGAAGTGGTTATTATTTCTTTGGGATTTGTAATAGCAAGCTGAAATTCCCTTGCCATAGTTTAATTTGACAAAGACATAGGTCGGAAAATAGTCAGACGAATTGAAAACAGATCATGTGAGTTACTTAGAGGACAAACCTGCTGACGCAGGGTGAGAAGATCTTCCTGACTGGTGGTGACCATGTAGGGTTTTTCAAGTATGCCTCGCTTCAATTGCTCAAGCTCCTGCTTCAAGCTGCTAATTTCTTTCTGATACTTCTTGATCAATGACTTTTCGTCAAGAATCTGTTGCATCGCGTATGCATGTCAGCGTCCAGTAAGATTGAAGCCTATAAGGACTTTTAGACTGCTTAACTCACCTCCAAGTGCGCAAACAGAGTGAATAATGGGGACTAACAAATCTTTAAGTCAAGCAGAATCACGATATGACTATGAAAACACTAGGTCAGAAATTTCTATTCTCAACAGCAATACCAAGATAGTAACCAATTTGATGTGAATATCGAAAAGCTGGAAGACAATACGTTGACGCAGCATCTTCAAATCTAGTTCTACACTTCACTGGAGAACCTGCCTGGCGTACAAGACGGCGAAGCATGCTATACATACTCTGTTAGGGGCAGCGTGTATCTCAACACGCTTGGCTCTGTGAGCGAACTTTAGGGTGTTGTGAGTCTCCTCATTATTGCTTGATGCAGGAGTAATGGTGCAGATCAACTGAAAGATTGAAAGCAGAAGAGACTGTTAGTCAAATTACAACATGAATTGGGTATGGAATGCTCAACTCTAAATCACAATTATGTGTCTTGGCCACTTGAAAAATGAAAGAGAAAAAGCTCGGATAAAGATCCATGGGCTATACGGCAATATTATATAAAAAGCTATAAACGTTATGTTGGAGGTTTCCACTTGGAACTACTCACCGAAATTCGTCCGTGGCCACTTAACGAAGACTGCAAAAGTCGTGTCAGCTTTGAGTCTCGGTAAGGTATGTGGGATGCTTTCCCTTCGCTCAACTTCGCTATAACCTGCAAACTTACTGTCAGACCTAATGCAATGATTTGAGAGTTTCATCTAAGCCTACTTTACAAACAAGCAGATATCGAACTAAGCACTGAGTATAAGCTTAAAATGCCTCCAATAGAGAAAAACACGTTTTTGGAGATGGGCGCAACATCTACCGTTCCAAGCGTAAGCAAACTCTTATTGATATAAGACCCTTCTTTCCGTCGCAAGCCAGTCGTCTCCGTCTTGGAACTTTCCGATCCAGCAAGATCAATAAGATTCTACACAGTCCGAAGATACACTGGTCACGGAGTGCTTATAACTGCTGAAAAGGCTACATTCGAGTGCACTACAAATCCTCAATGTAACATCGAGACGGAAACTCTTCGTGAAAAGCTAGGTCCTAGACCACGCCGCACAAGCTGCACATTCCTCTTAAAATGCTCAGACTAGAGTTCAGAAACTCCGGCACGGGCTCAAACTTAGGGATCTCTCACGGGAGGTTGCTTCATAACTCGTCCAAAATGGGAACCAATATTTTTACCGAGTGCCTGACGCAGTTGAGAAGATACTACTAGTTTCTAATTATATACTTCAATTATTACGAGAATGTGATACTCAATATCCCGGACATCACCAAAAAGAGCACCCACCAGCTGAGATAAAGTCACGTCCTCCTCGTTATATCCCTCCCCTCGTGCACTGCTTTCCACAGTCTGTAAAAAGAAAGACAAATGCTATTAGAGATAGAACAACAACAAAATTGACCTGGCCATAATTGTGACTTTTGGTCTGATCGGGACGAGAGTGTGGCAAATGCGAGTAGCATCATGTTCACGTGAACTATGTAGCATGCGCTCAAGGTGTACTCTCTGCCTCCAGAAACAGCTCTGAGCCAAAATGAATACACTTTTACTCGTGCTGGAAGATCGACAATTTCCAAAACCAAAATGTAGGGCGTAGAGTTAGTGAACATATCAACGCTGGAATTCGAACTATGAGGGAGCAAAATGTCATAATGAGAAGGGGCGGTTGAAGGCAGCGTCCGTGATAGGTACCAGGGTAAATATAGTGTGACTCCTGCTACTCAACAGGTTGAAGTTGTTTGATCCCACATGACGATGCTCTGAAAAAACATTGCATCAACTGTAAGAAGAAGGACAAATAAGGCCCTAGACTGTATGGGAGGTGATGTACAACCTTCACTGTGATGCATAGCTCCCATACATGTCAGGTACTAATACATTTCGGCATTTGGCCAGTACTACTAATTCAAATATTCTTAAGTTCTATGGCAATTAGAAAAACACTTCATATCCAAACCTACAAAGAGGACAACAAAGAACTAATTAGACACTACCTTCTCCAGCTGCGATCAGAGAAAGAGCGTGGGCAGGTGACAGCACAACCTCCTCCTTTATCCCCTCTACATATGTTCCCTGCTGACATCCAGAAAGTTGTGTTTTATAAACAGTTTATACTTGTAAGATGGCCTGGCCGACTCTGCTAATACTTCTTTTCTTCGTCCGTCTCCATATATAGTTCTTATGTGTTCCCTGCGATCTCCACAGAATCATCTGTGGATTACTAGGTCCTCAGACCTCACAAGATCCACTTTTCGCAGCTTGTACAATGTCCAAAACACAAATTATCCTGGAGGATACTCAGCCGCAAGAGACATTAGAGACCAAACAGCGTCTCTACAAACATAGAGTCGAACGCGAGGAACAGGGCAACTTCAGGGGATCCTCACCTGGGCATCTTCTCTTACTCTCAAGTTTTGACCAGCAGGATCTAATAGATCATTGATGACCTGTCCAAAGAACGATTTAAGAAAAAAAAAACAAGGAAGATTAGGTCATAAACATCGGGACATGAATAACTTATGGAATTGCTGATCTCATTGTGCAATAAATGATGACGACATTACGATAATCTTCCTTTGTCACGTTCACAGTCGCAAGGCTAGAATGTTTAATGTTTGAAGAGCACAACTACTGGCCTGAAGAGCAGCTGACAATCATGAACTTGACAAGTCAAATCAGGACAGCAAAGAAGATAACCGTCAAGAATACTATCTCCTGTCCTACAAAGTATTGTGAGAAAATTCACCTCATTATATATTTCAAGATAAGAAACACGAAGAAGAAATTCTCGTCCAGGAGTCTGCATAAAGACGAAAACCTGATTACGTGGCAAACCAGAGAGCAATGACTCTACTGCTTTCCTACATTATTTACCAGAGCACTTCTCACTACGAACAGACACATGGTGCATCTCATCCATGATAGGAGTTGACAGGTATCTCATTCGATAGAACATAATCGTCAATTCAAATTTATGAGTACTTTTCTTCATTTATGGTTAGTGAATAGATCGTCTATTTTTCAGGTGATATACTTTTATTTTGCCTATATTGTGTAAGAGATAAAGTTCTGCTCTACAACTTGGAGACAAATGGCAGGGACATTCCTAGGAAAAGTCAAAACATCGACAAGGATTATTAAGAACACTCATTTCAACCGTTATACCTCTTGTATGATGCTGAATACGTCTTTCACAGCCAACGGTATGATGCCGGGCGATTTTTGGTCACCCTGCGCAGCAATTTTCGGATTCAAATTAACTCTCCATCTAAAACCACTTTCTAAGACACTAACATCCAGATAAAAATCGGACGCTTCCCTTACTACTATTCAGAACAAGCACCCATCAGCACAGCATTGAATTTGAATGAAGACTAAGTGACATGGTCTTGGCTGAATAAGAACCAGCAATCTTCGAAGAAGACAGTAAAGAAGCCTTGACGGATCTAATGTGGAGCAAGAATGGGTAACACGCGTATTAACAGTCCGTCCGATGCAAGAACATTAATTATCATAGTTCTTTCCCGTATGAGAAAGTCGATATGCTAGATTAAAGCTTGGAGAAGCATCCAGACTCCGATTTCTAGAATTAGAAAAAATAATACAATGGCAGATCGTAAACTATGTGGAAAATCCTCGTGGGCTGCGTTCATGACACAAAACAAATCTGAAGGCTTCTACCTTCTTGAGAAAACGAACATCATACAAGTCAAAGGAACATACAGAGAGAAATGGTGAAAGGTAAAAAGGAAGTCTCACATGCATCGTGTGGGTCTTGCCACTGCTGGTGACACCATACGCGAATACCGTACCTACAAAATATGTTCAATGTTCATTTAAATCCAGAAAGAGATCTCACGACGGACAGGCAATATAATTGTACACTGACATGTTCGAAAAGGTTGTCCTTTGACGGCTTCCTTGTTCAACGTGACTGGACTCTTCCATTTCTCCAGCATGTTAACATTGTGTAATTTTGTAACACAGAGAGAATCGAGAGTTTCTTGATGACTCTCAGAATTTGAAAGAACTGTGTTCTCACCATTTACGCCCTCCATGGCTCCACCAACAACATGTTGCGCGGCAATATCATAAACACCCCGAGTCGTTGTTGCAGGTCCAAAAACTCGATCTTCGGCAGAATAAGATTGATCACAGTAACGTCAGCAGGCCAATGCAACAGACTTGGAAGGAAGCAACACCTTCGCAGTACATGTGATTCACGCTTCTGTACGCCAATGAGCGTACAGAAGTTTGATGGGAGAAAAATGACCAAATCCAAAAACGAACACTGCTACTGTTGTACTCTAATCTGAAAGACTACCCAACATCCATTATAACAAAAACAATCCCCTTACCAAAAGCGTATGCTGTTGCTGCATTGTACTCGCTTCTAACGGTTGTGTCCCCGTCAGCATACCAGGCAACTTCATCACCACGTTGAATTTCTCTTGAGCTGCAACTCACAGTGATCGGTCAGATTCACTCGTACGTGCTTACTAAACAGCTGACGAAGACACTAAGAATTCCTTAGTACACTGACACCTTACAGAAGGAGCCATCACATACATATACACGACACATATGATTTACGAATGTATCTACATGTACCTTGTTTTAGTAGTATCTAGAACGATGAGATGTACGTTAACATGTTCTATACTGCGTGACAGATCCTAGCTGTAGCTACGCTCCCGGTAAGAGCATCGAAGAGATCTAGAGAATCTAGAACCTTCAACGATCACACCTAATTCATCATGCATAATCAAATACCCCTTCAAGTACTTCATGACCAACTCCGAAGGTAAAACTATCACGGTCATCAACCCCAAACCCGTCAACCGTGAAATTTCAGGAGCTGAAAGCACTCCATACGTGTATCATCAGTAGAAAGAAAAAAAAATCTGGATTGCACATTACATAGACGTCTTCCCAGCCGGGTATAGAAGATGCTGATTCCAAGGAGAGGGTATACACGGGATTGTCTTGTAACATATGCGATCGCATAAAATAACGGCATTCATCATACTTTCCACTACATTGTCTTAGCAGGTGCTACTCATCATTCTTAATGTCTGGCGATCCAAGGCAATACAGCAAGGCAATGTAGAAGAAATAGGGGACAAAAGTGGCTTTCGACTTGTACATAGAAGCAAATGTTCAGCCCTGAATTGAAAATAGATCACTCGCATGACGTTCCATGGGCATAATTCACGTCACTGTTACCTTAATACCGTCCATATACTTATGGTGATTTTACTAAACAAGACTGTGAGTTCTAGTTTTCCATCTTAATCACAATGAGTCTATCGCAGTTCAGTACAGGGCCTCAAAAGGCCAGAAAATGGATCCCACTACTCCACGAGAAGCCGACCCTAGTACGAGAGGACTGGGTTCGCGATTGCAGGGCCAAAAAGTACTATCATAATCGCATATGTGAATTCCAATCTTGGATCCAGTGAGATCCTAGAACAATCCTCGATCTGGCAGAAAACCAAGACTGGGACGTATGTGCAGCCATTTCTATCGCCAGAAACTTCTCCGTCTCCAGAATTCCTTGATTTTACCCAAGCAATCATCCCACGAACGCAATTACATTCAAAGTACTCATTACAGAGTAGATGATGGTCGAATGCTAGGAAGGTCTGCGGTGCTTATAATCATAGAGTCTGATCGTCTTGTAGATCGTACTCCAGAAGCCTAAAATCTGTTTTTGGTGAAAACACCAGTGTTCCAAGAAAGATTCGCTGGCTCATAAATCTAATCCAGCCAAATCTGAACAAACCGTCTCCTGGCTACATCTCCAGCTCTTTCAGTAACGAGGTGACAGAAGCAGGCGCTGCTTCCTTTAGCGACCCGTGCTTGATGCTTGCTCGTTCAAACAGAAATTCCATGACTGCATGATTATCATGTAAGGGAATGCAACATGATCTGCCCAAAACACATAAACTTCCTTTTGAACACAATTGATCTGCCAAGCATCTGAGAAGTCCTGATGGCTACTTCAAACAATGTGCTGACTTACTTGAGAGGTCGAAAGCGGACGGTGACCGATACATTCTCCTTCGCTCGGTTGAGAAAGTCGGCCCTTTCAGAGGTAGGTGTGATTGGGCTTGCTGCAGAAGCGGCAGGAGAGTTCGCGCTCACACGGTATTTTTGAGGAGTAATAGAGGGAGTGTTAGTGACGGCGGTTCGACCTCGGTTGGGAGTGAGGGACCTTCCTACTATAGAAGGAGTTTTATTCGCGGGACTGGGTCCAGTCTGTGACGATGATGAAGAATGAGACGGAGTATGAATTTGAGAAAGTCCAGGCAGTTTGCCATTGACAGATGCAGGTTGCTTCCTGAACCGAAAGGGGGAGCTTGTCCTGGCCTTAGAGGATGATGACGCCATCCCTTAACTACAAAAAAGCATGTGGGTACGTGAAAGTGAAGACAGCAAGGCCAGTGCTGGAGGAACACGAAGAAACTGGGAGACGCAATTGCTAATATTTGGTCGCCGATGTCGATGGCTGCTCTGTTGGGAGGGCGAAAAGGAACATCAGCTGAGGACACAGAGAGGGTACTCACGGTAGACGAACGAATGTGAAACGCCTAAATGACCGACCTCACGAATGATTCACGTTGTGACAATCACAGTCGAAGGGAGAAAATGTGCATCATTGTGAAAGACTGAGAAAGCCGATGATTCGCTTCAGTACACTCATACACAAAAATGTGCAGAGCCTCGAGCAAACCAAAAACTTGTTCAAATGCCCGACCCCTGGATAAGAAAAAACAGTTCCTGCGCACGAACCCCGCGAGACCAGGCTGCCGTGCAGGCATTCAAGTCAGAGAATCCAGCTAAATCTATCAGAGCTACAACAGCTGCTTGGTAATCCTCCCCATAAGACCCCCAAGGGGCTGCCACATCTCGTCGAGCTGTGCTGAGCCATCGTGTATCGGCGGCCAAACACCGTCCCGCTGATCGTTAGATCTCCTCCTTTTCCTCGTCGCTTCCGCAAAACAATGCAATGCCCACGCTCCGCTCCTGCTTCATCCTACTCTCGTCTACCGCAGGAAACAGTCCATCAAAATTCACAGACCACACCATCTTCCGCAAGTACGAGAGCGATGACTTCTGAGCCCAATCTATCTCACGCTCTCCTCTGTCCCGCTCTCTCACCAAAACTCCGTCCGCACAACGGGTGGCCGACGACGGGCGAACGGTCGGTTCAGTACCTCATCTCAACATCATCCCAATCCGCAAAACCACCAGAACTATCAATATCCTCGAGACCCCGCGCTCGGATCGTCGAGCTATCTCTCTCTACTCTCGCGTCTCTCTCGGCCTCAAACTCCCTCGTCTGCTCTCGCCGTGCATCCCACTGCCTAGCTTGCATGCCTGCCTGCCTCCTCCTGCTAGCTAGCTCGCTCGCTCGCTCGCAGCAGCAGCAGCAGCGGCAGCGCCTGCACTGAACGTCTTCGACTCTCTTTTGCTCTCTCGGGTGCTGGTGCTCGCCCGCAGGAGGCAAAGAGCAACAATTGCTAAGGGACGAACCGAACCCCGGCATCAGGAGCGAGGCAACTCGAATCCTCCGGAGGTCATTTTCCGCCAATTTCCCATTATTTTAGTGCATTTTAATTAGCCCGCAGCGCATAACAGAGCAGACGAGACCAGTCCAGCCCAGTTACTCCAGTACAGTACAGTACAGTACACTGTATTCTCACAGGCGATAAAGTCATGCCTTCCAGCTAAAGTTAATCCCAGACGTACTTCTTCTTCTTCTCCTTCCGCTTCTTTTGCCCGCCTCCTTTATTCTCGCTCGTGCTTTTACTTAAGCCACGCCCTATTATTTCTGATTTGGACATGTCGGAAAATGGACCCGCCCCTGACAGGGAGAAATCCCTCCAACAACCATTCCTGCCCTCCTTGACTCCTTCTCCGCCTCAGAAGTCTACGGCACTTTCATCGGGCCACCCTCACACTGCCCTGTACTGTACTGTGCTGTATCGTATTGGACTGGCCTGTACAGCACAAAGACGGAGACGACGTCGTGGTAAACGCCTGAGGAGGAGCCCTCGCCACAGTAAGTGCTCGTTCGGTCGTGGCACTACTGTAGTCAAATCACATCGCCACGATCAGATCCTTCCATTTATAGAGCTCGTACTGCGTCCCGGCTTGGCCCTCCGGCTCCGGCTTCGTTTCGGGTGAGGATAGGTTCACTAGCACCACGGCGCGTTCTTTCTGTCGCGATACAGACACTTCTTTCGTTATTGGAAAGTCGGCCTCGTCTGAACTTTTCCACGGATCGAAAAACACAACTAACAATTTTGATAAAAAATGCGTGTATTCTATCGATCGGTGGCACTCAGCAGCATTAAGTTGTCCTCCCAGTGAAGTATGTTTGCGTCATGGTCAGCTTTACCGACTTGTGGATATCTGTAGACTCAGGGGAATAGCCCTTAGAAGACGAACGAACAGTTCAGTAGGTAATTTGAAAGAGCTCTTGATCGAGCGCATGACTCATTTTCGATTTGATTGTTTTCCTTATCCATGTGCATACATACTCCAAAATTTCATTTAAAGTACATGTAAAATGCCAATATGGCTTTCAAGAACGTTCGTTAACATAAAAGCATTTCGAAACTGCCTCACGTGTGGAGGGATCAGATGCCTAGTGCAGACAAAATAGGTCATGCTAATCACCTTACAACCGATACCATTTAAAGTATATCCCCGTCGGGCTCAAGGGCCACCAGGCACCCTACTACTTCGACGACATCCCGGCAGCAAGAAAGAATGAAAGGCAGGAGGAGGGCGTGCTGAAATCCGAACACTACCCAAGACGTACTGTACAAGGAAAGAGAAGATGGACGACCAGCTATTAGGCCAAATAAATCACTTCTTGGCCCCTGGTTCTCTACTTTTAATCCATATGTGGGGTGATAGGGGCATCTCCAGGCCATTGTAAGTCAAAAGCGGCTCCCTAGTATTTGCAGGTCTGAGCGAGAAATGAGATTACTCGTAAACTTGTCATGCAGTGCAAGAGTTTCAGAAAGTTGTCTCCTCACATTGTCTTTCTGAGCAAGCTGAATGTAGTCTACAAATCGTCTCCATATCTTGTGATTCAGAGCTTAAACACTGTCTTCAAGGACTTGCGCAGTGTCCATTAACTAGGTTTGCCAGATTGCTGCGAACCGTATGAGCTCCGACTTTTGGAAAGTTGCTATAACTGTATATATCTGGGTGAAAGTCCACCAGCAATGCTTGAGATGGTAAATGCGCCAGTGAGGATATCATACAGTATGTTCCCTTACAAACGGCCAATCCATTCCCAAACAAGAACGTAGTTGTAGGGCACCGCCAAACGAGCTGCGCAGTAGGTCATGCCGCGAAGAAAAAACCCTTTGGGTAAGGACTAGGTGCGTTACTTGCAGATAAAATAACTAATAATTGCCATAAGGAGGGTATTTATTTCCTGGACCGTCGACACGATCTGACTTGCTTCCGTTTATCTCAAGACCAGCAATGTATTTTTAGCTCTCTATTTGGCTATATTCTTCACTTCGATCATCTTGAATTGCTTATTGTTGAGTCTGACTATTTGGTGAAAAAACATAAAGTACTGATCCAGATTCCAGTTAGTCAATGAGGTGAACAACATCAGGGGGCAAAAGTGGAAATGACCGATTTGATGGTGGGAATAGCAAGAATGACAACACTACGTTCAAGACCTGTAGGAATCATGATGTGATAAGGGGTGACGTATCAACAAGCACGTTAAGCAACGATTTTGTTTTTCCAGTGAAAGATGGAAATAACTCTATATCCAAAATTAGTGAGGTGAGCTATATGTATAGGAAATTTTTTTGGAAGAAGTGATTCACCGACTTATGGAATCGTAAACTTGAAGCTTTCATACCCATGCAAATCATACCACAATCCTTCATGACAACGTGACATATAAAATTGCATACGTCAACACAAATTCATCCAAGTAGTCTTTTTAAGTTTCAAACCAAAAAGGATACTTTTTCTGTAAATAGATGTAATGTACAACTTCATATGGATAACTACAAGGATCACGCAAAAAATATCAATTGATGGGGTTCTTCCTATACTTTATGATATGTTACTTTAAAGCTAATATCCAGCCTAACCTTTGATATGCAATATTGCAATATGCAATGTTGTTCAAACTCCCAATGAAATGGGTAACCGCCAGGTGAAATTCATTTTCTCAGAAATTTAAGGGGAGAGACTTTAAATATCAATATTACATTGTATGCAAAAATGGGTAAGAATGAAACTGAACAAATTTTGGTCCATTTCTTTTCGTAAGAATAGTGTTATACTCGATAACTTCTTAAAAATTACAGTTCGTGTTGGTGTTTAAAATCCTATGCGGTTTAAAATGTAGGAAGGTTGCAAAATGAGGATATTCTGAAAGGCAAAAAAAAGCAAGGAACAAGCAATTACTTTCAAATCATGTACATAGCCGCATGACATAGAAAAAAAAACTGAACTGTTTTGCAATTCAACTTTCCAAATAGATTTAAACTCTATCGCGATAATGTCTCATTTTTACATCACTAAAAGGCTAAAACCCCAAAGGCATAAGTAAGCAAAGGATGCTTATGTTAAATCGAAAAGAGCTTACTGTCATGAGGTGATATGGCAGTAAGGAGTGTCACTGTAATGCTCACAAAATCTTCAAACGATCCAAAAATTTCAGAACCTGCCTCCCATATTTTACATATTATTTGACTGCATCCACAATTTGTTTCTTGAAAAAATAAATATCCAACCTTTTATAGATTTTCTACGAAAAGTATGAGAGAGTGACAAAGATTGATGGGCAGTTGTTTAGGGTATAGCAAATTAGGTTTGTAGAAACATCCAAGCTTATTTTGGACAATTCATTTCCATTGGTTCCCATGGAGTAATATCTAATTGTATTTATACAATATCAATTACAACAGGTGTTAATTCATGAGATGCTATTTTGTTTGTAGAGCAGTTTGCCTCGATATTCAGTCATATTATTATTTGTTCATATAGCTTTTATAATATCTCTCATTGTGATGCTATTGGGATTCAGCTTCATGTAATCCATGTAGCACATGATCGGATATCCACGTCTTTATTTATTGTATTTCCAAATTCTTCTATAGAAGATGTAAGGGGAAGTTTTGGAAGCCTAATATGCATTTCAATGTACACTCGTATAGGTTTTCACGTGAATTACTCAACTGCGTTTCCGAGACGGCAAGGTTCTGTATGTACGTGCAATAAAGTCTGTATTGGAAAAATCAACCAATAGATTTTGACTTTAGCATGATGTGGAGCATACAGAAAAGTTGAAGTTTCTTTGAAATCCGATTTTGCTGATATATTACGCGGTAATGTCCTATAGCCCCGTGAAGGATACGTGGTCCGCTTCTTCTCGTGTCTGTATTTGTGATGTTACGGGGCTACTACTCGTCTTACAGTAGAATTTCAAAATAACCCCCCCTAAAAAATATTGCTTTGACATACATGTTCTACTTAATATATAAAATTTTTATCATTTCACTTATCGTCTCAAATATGTTAGTTTGAACGTCTGAAAAATTTAAATCAAATAATGTAAATTCTATTTGTAAACAAATAGAATTTCAATACTTCCATATAGATCCTATACTTGCATGTATACCAACATGCACACATATACATATGCAAGTTTATGTGTTTGTGTACGCTATTTGATGATATAAGTCATATTACACATGTATGTAATAAGTACTGTTCAAATAAATACATCAAATATCTAATTTCCAGATATTCCACCAAACAAATGTAGCTTACAACTGAAATAATTTCATATAATTCTTTTATTTTATTTCATACAATCAAAACAAGAAACAATCTATATCTAAAAAATAAAAAATTTCAACACAACTTTATAATCTTTTTGAAAAATGCAAACATGTAGTTATGTTGTAATAATGTTTAAGATATATGGCACATTGACAAACACATGATCAAGATATTTCCAACATAAATTGAATAATACGTAGTTCTAATATAATATAATGTTTGTAATCATTTGTAATTCTAATATAAAAAATCATATAAAATTGCTTATATTAACTTAAAATATATTTTTTGTAGGTATTTTGAGTAGAAGAAAGCAGAATAATCACAAATAACATACTATTTAAGTTGAATAGTGTATATAATATATATTAATGAATGATAATAATATATTTTTTAATATTTATGTATACAAAAAATGTATAGTGTGAATACCAAAATTATATTTATCAGTAATTACTGCCTACAAATTGTTTAAACAAAATTAATTGTGAATTTGAGTCATAACATGAATAAAGTTCGATTCAGCACTAACACCAAGCTATTTTTTTACCTGAAATTATGACAAATTTTTTTTTATAATCGAGATAGTAAAAATTTGTTAGTTATAATATCTG